TCCTATGCAGTATTTCTCTTTTTGTGATTGACTAATTTCACTCAACATAATGCTCTCAAGGTTCATCCATGTTACATCATAAACTTTTGAGATGACCTCTCTGTCTTAAATTTAAGAGGAATGCACCAGACTGCAAAGCCATTTGAACTGTAAGGTTGGCAGTTCAAGCTCACCAGTTTCTCTTTGGAAACCCTGTGTAGGGTCACTATGGGTTGGATCTGACTCGACAGCACTTAACAACAACAACAGCAACAACTGATCCCCTCAGAAGCCACTGTTTTGATTGAACATTTTTTGAAGGAACCACAGTGAGACTGACCAAGTGTAGTACTGAGCGATCTTACCTACAATCATCTTCTAGTTGCAGAGACTTATTTGAATGTTTTTTGTTTGCAATAAACTGTGTGCATGCTTGAACTGGAATCATAGTAACAATATTTTGCCTGTCTAATGCATTATTTATTTCTGAAATTTTAGTATTAATCTTCTGGAATTGTATTTGCTGAATTTTTATGGTTTCTAATTTTACATTTATTTTGGTAATTTGTTATCTTCTTTTTCCCCCTCAATTCTTACAGTGTTTTCATCTGTGTCTTCCTTGATACTGTCTGTGTTTTCCTTGATCTACCTCTCAACACGTACTTTAATATATTTATTTTGAATTACTCATCAGGCAGTTCCTTCAGAATATTTTCTCACCTTGTATTTTGATCATTAATTTGAGCCATCTTGTCCTGTCTTTTTTGTGATTTGAAGTTTCTGTTTTTGTCTAAGACATTATGGTATTATTGTATTAATTTGCTACTTGTGTGTTGGCTTGCTTTGCCCTGATTTTTGTTTTAACATATCTGGGCAACAGAGCAGGTGTGCTACTTTGTTTGATAGTTTTGCAGCACCAGGGTGCTCAGCACCTGTCTCTAGGTAGATTTGGTAGTGAGTGGGCATGTGATCACTGAAAGTGCAGAACAGCTGAAGAAAGGCTGGGTGAGTATTGACTATTATCTGTCCTTGATCCAGTGGAGTGGGTGGTAGCACTCTCCCAATGGATGAGGTCACAGCCGTGATGGGTGTGCTTGGGTAGGATCGATAACTCCAGACTCACTGGCCCATTAATCTCTGATGTGGGTGCTGATACAGTCCTGGGTGAGTGGAGTGACATATTTGGTTCCTAGTTTGATCGGAACACTGCTTGAAGTAATTCAAAATGTTTATGCTTTGTTGTTTGGCCGTTCACCACTTCATATGTCCACTTGTTCACTATTTCCATTCAGTCTCTTCCTCTCTTTGGTATTTGAGCTACTTCTTTGACCTTTCCTTTGAAGCTCTAGATTCCAGGATTGTCTTTCACATCTGTTTCACTCAGGTTTTCAAGTCTGTTACACTATAGGATAAGCACTGGTCGGCAAGGTCTGTTTGAACCTCAAGTTCGGTTTGAACCACAGGTCAGCAGCTTAAACTCATCAGCCACTCCTCAGAAACCCTATACAGCGTCTCTTATGAGTCAGAACAGACTCAACAGCACCTAACAACAACAACAACAACGAGAGTCTACTCTCTATCTTGGATCCTGCTCGCTGCCCTCTCATACTTTTATTTGCTTTGTTTGTGCACTTAAATATAGTCTGTTTCTTCCAATCAGTTGCCCTAATAGTAATTTTGGGGATCCTCATCTGCCTCCTAGTTTGTTGTGTAGTGTTTCGGGTATTTACAAGTGGACATCCAAGGTACAACATTGATCTTATTTTATTTTTTTAAACAGACAGTTTACATGGCTGGGCAGAAGCTTAACTCTCAGCTCATTGATTTGATCGTCTACTCTGCTACCCCATGCTTGCACGGATATTGATTCAGCCAGAGATCGGGTGGAGTTTATACTAGAATTTGTAATAGAATTAGGGGTCTTCTGTCTCTACCTCTTTTCTCAGAACATTCTCTGAGTTTTCAGGTCAGCATGAGATTTTCTTTTGGAGTTTTAGCCACCACTTTCAACACTGTTTCTAAATCTTGGAGAAAAAGCCAAAGAGATAGGACACTTTCCCTATTATAGTCCCTAGTTCCAAGTATCCAGTCTCCTGATTCTGTTTCCTCTCCATTCCCTCCGGCAGTTGTTTTTGGTGCTTCTCCACACCTTATACTTGATATCTTCAAGAGGGTTGGCCCAGAGGGACTTCCTCAGCAATTAAAGGAGCAGAACTCCTGTAAAGTTTGAACTCTTACAAAATGAACTGAAGAATTCTTTATTTCCCCTTTATTTATGGTTTAGATGCTAAACACCTCAACATACAGAGACTACTGAGGGGTTTTGTTTGTGTTTTGGGCTGCCTTTGTTTTGTTTTGCTTGGTATTATGAAATTATGCAATGAGGATTTGAAGCTTTGATCCCAGACCTGTTCAAAGAGTAAATGTAAGAAAAGTATACACATCAGCATATTTCATGGAAGAGAGTCTGAAAAATATGCTGAAATGATTCACAAAAGAGCCCACATTTTTTTTTGGTATGGCTTTAAACATGAAAACTACTGTATTGCAGGTGATTTATTTGCTACCAGTCAACCCTGCAGGAATCCTAGAGTTCTGCAGAAAGAAGAGGCCTTTTTGCTACTTAGAGTAAACTCAAATTGTAACACAGTGTTCTGGAAGAGACACTTGTGACAGGTGCATGGAGGTGTTTACGCTGTTCCTTTACACTCTATACTCTAAAAGGAGTTCAGTGAGCTGAGAGTCTCTTCCACTAGTTCAATTGCTTTCTCTCTTCAAACTTAACCCAAAAATTGTCCATGAAAAGTTTAATCACTTTCTAAGGATAGAATACGATTCTCAAGTAGGATGTAATAAATAAATAAAATACAAATTCATCATCACCTTTAAAATAGTGTAGGGTGAAATTTCCTAAGTAAAATAGCAATGGATTATTTGCCAGTTTAAACTTTTGACCTTAAAGGGAACTTCATGATTTCTCTGAAATTGATGAAGATCGGTACAGAGCTGTCCAGCCTACATCTGCAGCGATTGTGTTTTCCTTCAGAAGTTCTTGCTGATTGCACTGGAAGATTATGGACAGCCCACCTGTCATTTCTGCATTCAAACAATGTCTTCTTTGTCCATGAATACTTTATACTGAGATATACTTTTGATAGTTCCTAGATTCAAGCAAGTTCATGCCAATTTTCCATAATATCTTGAACTAAGGTCATGGTTTGCTTACAAATTAGAAATAACTATCTAAAAATCTGCACATGTTGAGATGTTTAAATACTCATCCCAACTTTTACTTTCTTATATGATTATATACACTGGCCTCATTGTTCTGGTGCACCTACCTTTTGTAACCTAGAAACTTGTCACAAGAGTATTTCCAATTGCTGAAAAACAAAGAAACTTTACCGTCAGCTAACAATCTTTCAGTCACTGAGTGTAAATAGATTTTTCTTCAACTTGACAATCTCCAGGGATTCTTGAACATAATGCTCCCCTCTGGATGCCTCACCAAAGACCATTTTAAAGAAAATAACAAAAAGACCAAGAGAATCCTGATTCTATAGCATACTCTAAATTTTCAGCACAGCTGGTTGTGGTTGGGATCTGGGAAAGAAGCCAGCCTTGAGAATGTTAAGTGTAAATATCAGCCCTCTGGTGCCCTCTAGTGACATTGTTAAGGAGTAAATGACTCAAATTCCAGTTTCAACTAATCATCTGCCCTAAATATCCATGTAAGTCTAGAATTACATGCTGTGGATCATAACAATTTGCAGTTGTCAAGTGCCACTGAATCAATTTTGATTCATAGTGACCCTGTATAGAGTATGTTGTTGTTGTTAAGTGCCATCAAGTAGATTCCAACCCTTAGCAACCCTGTATAGGGTTTCCAAGGAGCAGCTGCCACTGATCTTGCAATTCAAACCACTTTGCCGTCTGATGCATTAGTCCACAGCGCCACGCCAGGACTCCATATAGAGTATACCAAACACTTATATGGTGATAACTATGTGTGTCCTTATAATAGCCCTATGTTGTTGTTGTTGTTGTTGCTAAGTGCCGTAGAGTCTGTTCCAACTCGTAGTGACCCTGTATAGGGTTTCCAAAGAGCGGCTGGTGAGTTCCAACTACCAACGCTGTGGTTCAGACTGACTGCAGTCCAGCACATTAACCCACAGAGTCACACCAGGAGTCCAACCGTTCTATAACAGCGCTATAACTACCCTATTTTATCGGTGATAAAATAGACACAACTATTAGTTATAGAAAGAAGACCTGGTGGTGCTGTAGGATAAGCAATGGACTGCAAACTCCAAGGTTAGCAGTTCAAACCCACCAGCTGCTCCTTGGGAGAAAGATGAGGCTGTGTGCTTCTATAAGGATGAACAGCCTAAGAAACTCTGCAGTGTGGCTTTGAGTCAGAGCTGACTCAGTGGCAATGGGTATTAGTCATAGAAGCAGGATTTGTAACCTGGTTCTAGAATTTATGTGCTTATACATTCAGGCTTCATTCTGTGGATGAGAAATTTATTTTCTCTTAAATTGTGCTTTTAGTGTTTTGCTTATAATATAAAAGTTAGACATGGTATGTGAACATGTGTTGAAATGCTACACAAGTTTATGAATATTCTGAGGATCTTGTTGGCCACTGTCCCCTGCAGTGACATCATGAAATGTGAAAGGAGAATTGATAAATAGAAGCTCCCATTCAGTGTGAACAGATTTACATTTCTGGGCACAAACCCCATCTTCACACTGGAAGCTGCCAGTAACCTTCCTTGTGCCACCAGATGTTAATGAGAGGTGCTGTCAGAATCAATCAGTGCTATACAAATGAGTGATTATTTCTCTGTTTGCTTTCTAGGAGGGCCTCACATCAAAGTACAGTTTCAAGCATTACACCTCATGATCATGGCGCTGCCCGATGCCAACAGAGACACAGCACAGGTATGTAGTGCTGGCCTCATGGTCTTCACCATGTCAGAGGGAATGGTTCACATAGAAGAATAACACTGAAGGGACAAGTTAGTGAGCAAACTGAGCATTCTCCAGACCGATTGTCTTTTATTGTTCCCACTGCTGTTCTTCTGAGGAAGACACAAAGGAATGTAAATCTTAACATCTTTTGGACTTATAGTATTCATTTATTCAACCTGGAAAGATATACCTACCAAGTGTCTGTCATGTGCTAAGCATGGGCTAGGTGTCAGGAGAAGAAATGGAGATGAAAGAATTCAGTGGGATAATGTCAGAAGTAAATGAGACCAGCATATAATTAATAAAATGTACATCTCTATCAGTGTCATTCTTCATCTGAGTCCTTTAATGTAGACACACACACACACAAACATCCTCAGAGTGTCTTTAGAGAGGAAACTTTAAATTACGGATTTTCCTGAAAAGTCTAAATGTTTGTGCCATACAATTTAAGAATTAATGTGCCATACAAATTAAGAATCTTAGAATCTCAGAATTTTAAAGATCATCTGATAGAATCTTGTCATTTTCCAAATTAGGAATATTAGTCTCAGAAAAGTGATTTTCCCAAAACCTATAGGAGAGCATTGGGTAGAATCACATTCCATAGTTCTTTATCCCAAATATTTCTCCATTAATGTGTAATAGAACATGAATAGAATCACATTCGGTAGTTCTTTCTCCCCAAAATTTCTCCATTAATGAACGGTAAAATATTGGGTAGACTCTCATTCTGTAGTTCTTCGTCCCAAATACTCCTCACCTTTTTTATAAATTAGTATCTTTTCTTTCTGTTAATAAAAATTAAAATCTCCTCTTGTTATCTGTGGTGCTGTAGCTTCAGCATTGGACTGTGAACCACGAGGTTGGTAGTTCAAACCTACCAGCAGCTCCTCAGAAACCCCATACAGGGTCACTATGAGTCAGAACCCACTTGACAACATTTACCAACAACAGTTATTACTCTGAAGTTATTACTTGTTGGCTCAGTGTTAGAGTTCTTGCCTTCCGTGAAGGAGACCTGATTGTTATTCCCAGCTACCCCCCAAATGCGTAGCCATTTACTCACTTGTTAGTAGATGCTGATGTATTGCTTTGATGCTGAACAAGGTTCAGGAAGCCTCCAGACTAAGAAGGACTAGGACAAAAGACTGATGGTCTGCCTCCAAATTTCTGTTACTGCTGAGAACCTGGAGAGACTTGCCTTTGGTCAGCTGAAAATTCCCAAATTGAAAAGCAGAAGAAAAATGACACACACACACACCCAGAATTAAGAATTTTCAGTTGAGTTAATATTTGATTCAGTTGAGTTAATACTTGATTCAGAAATGAAATACTCATATTGTTTAAGCAGGTTTTTTCTGTCCCAAGGGGAAAAGGGGATACTTTTCAGCCGGAATGTTTTAATAATAGGTGTTTTCAAAAAAACCTTTTTCCTCTAAAATAAAAGTGCATTTTATGTTTATTTAAGCTATAGTATTTTGACTTCCTGTTTGCTTTTAAATTTTAATATTTATCAAATTCTTTTAGGATAAAAGAAAATATAGGAATTCAAACTATTGTTTATAGAGACTCCAGTATACTAAACTCCATAAAAATTGAGTTACTGTATAAAGCAGACCATTGATTAAACTCACATTCCTGATTAGTACTATTTATCAGTAAAGGTGGAAATATGGCACAGTTGACAACTCTGTACTTATGGCAGTTTTCCAAGAGTCAGAACGTATGCGTACTTACAATGCTATTTCTTGTTAGGCCCTCTTGACATTCTTCAATAAAGTGATTGCCAACGAATCAAAAAACAGAATGAGTCTGTGGAACATTTCTACTGTTATGGCACCAAACCTCTTCTTTAGTAGAAGCAAACATTCTGACTATGAAGAATTACTGCTAGCAAACACTGCAGCCCATATAATTCGCCTAATGCTTAAGTACCAGAAAATTTTGTGGAAGGTGAGTAACAATACAGTGACTGTTAAAGTCTCTTGGAAGTTCACCAGCATCCAAGAGACATAAAGTTCCATGAAGAATCGATCCTGAGGTTATGGGGAGATAACCAGGTTGCATCTTTATAGGTTCTTTATGCTCTTTTATACATTCTCCCTTTTAAAGGATTCTCCTAATAGTTTCTTTCTGATCTTTACAAGCCTCAATGTTACCCTTTAGGTTCCAGGACAGTAAGTGATGAGGATGTTAGCATAACTGAAGGTAGAATCTACTAGGGAGGTGGAAATCCAGTGTTTGCCCTCTCACCAAGTTACATTTCTTCTCCAGGTTCCATCTTTCCTAATAACTCAAGTAAGAAGAATGAACGAAGCCACAATGTTGTTAAAGAAACAGCTGCCAAGTGTTAAAAAGCTGCTAAGGAGAAAGACCATAGAACGAGAGGTAATAAAAATAAATAGTGGGAAAATAATGTTTAGTATCCAGATTTTTACTCTTCAAAGGAGGTACAAAAACCTGTGAATTATAGAACAAAATTTTATATTCTCATAAAGTATTGGACAGTCTTATGAATATAAAATTTATAACAATTGTCCATAACACAGTACAGTTTGCATTTTCTTTAATCGGGTTAAAGTTTCTTATATATACATCATAAAGATTATTTAGTATTCTGTTAAATATTTATTTTAAAGGTTAAATGGTTCTGACAAAAGCTAAAGTTGACAGACAACAAACATATGAAGAAATGTCATGATCACTAGCCATTAGAGAGATGCAAATCAAAACAACAATGAGATATCATCTCACACCA